AACAACAACAACAACAATCCTCTCATGAACCTAGACACAAAAATCCTTAAAAGCAAACAAAAATAGCATTATATAAAAAAGATGAACAAATAGGGTTATTTCAGGAATGCACGGTTGATTTCATGTTCAAGCACAATTCGGTATACCATAAAGTTCATTGTGATTATGCTCGTGTGCCGTTGAGTCAAAAGGGCCTCAGAACTGACTTTCCAGCAGGTTTTCAGAGGCTGTAAATTGCATAGGAGAGTGCCCCTCCTTTCTCACTTTGAGCAAAGTGGGTTCAAACCATTGGCTTTTGTGTTGACAGCATAACTCCTTACACACTGGGCCACCAGAGCTCCCAATACAGTACAGGATTAATAAGTAAAACAACATGACAGTTTCAAGAGTTGCAATAAAAGAATTTTTTAAAATTCAGCGTGATTCATAATTTAACTAAAACCAGCGAGCTGAGAGGAAATGATCACTTACATAGGTAACGCTGAGGAGATTTGCTGTTAGTATCTCCCGCTAAGCCAAAACCCACAAGAACATTATAACATCTGCTTATATAATTTGGGGAGTAAATCCATCACGATTTATAGAATGCCATCAACAGAATATGAAAGTGGGCTGATTTTGGCTGGATTTGTAGAATGCTTGCGGAGATTTGTCAATCACCCTAGAAATGACTGGACCCTGTAACAGCATACGAGAAACCCTTAGACCTTCCTGAGGAAGCTGTGAGCTTTTAGAGATGACGTATATACGTCTCCTCTCCAGTCTCCAGTTACTGTTACCTCAGAGAAGACAGGTTGGGTTTGCGAAGGTGGAGAAGATATCTGTGGAAGAACTCCTCTAGATCTCTTTTGTGTGTGTTGGCCAGGAGCCACACCTTGCCCTGTGTGGACTTAGCGTAGAGTGAGTTCGATGTACGTGGTAGAAACAGTTGGAAGGTCCTCCGTCCTTTGTGAGGTGGGAGGAATGCTTTTCTCCTGTAGAATGCAGTGCTTCACCTTTGCATATGTCACCTCTGGTGGGTCTTCTGCTTCAGGGTCCTGGGAAGACATAAATGGTGAGTAGGATGTACATGTATTTATAGTCTAAGAGGATTGGTGGAAGATTCACCAACAACCTGCGTTATGCAGATGACACAACACTGTTCGCTGAAACTGAGGAGGACCTGAAGCGCTTGTTGCAGAAGGTCAAGGACTGCAGCTTTCAATATGGATTGAGGCCCAATGTCAAGAAGACAAAGATTCTCACCCCTGGGCCAATTGGCAGCATCAGAATGGATGGTGAAGAGATTTAGATTGTTCACAGCTTTACTCTGCTTGGCTCCACAATCAACACCCTTGGCACCAGTAGCCATGAAATGAAAAGACATATTGTGATGGGAAAGTCTGCTGTTAGGGATATTTCCAAGGTACTGAAGAGCAACGGTGTCACTCTGGAGACTAAGGTGCACCTGATACAGTCCATGGTCTTTGTAATCACTTGCTATGCATCAGAGAGCTGGACAATGACTAGGGAGGATAGAAGGAGAATTGATGCCTTTGAGCTGTGCTGCTGGAGAAGAGTATTGAATATACCATGCACTGCTAAGAAAACAAACAGATTCATCCTGGAGAAGTTTAAATCGGGATGCTCCTTGGAGGCAAGGATTCTGATGCTTTGTCTGACATGCTTTGGACATGTTGCAAGGAGGGACCAGTCCTTGGAGAGGGACTTCATGCTTGGGAGGGTGGAAGGACATCGCAGGAGAGGAAGACCTTCGTTGAGGTGGATTGATTCAGTGACTGGGGTAATGGGGGTGGGTGTATCAGGGATAATAAGATTGGCACAGGATAGAGCAGGGTTTAGGGCTGTTGTACATAGGGTCGCGATGAGTGGCAGGTGACTCAATGGCAGATAACAACAACAACAATAACAAGAGGGAATAAGAAAGACCACGTTAAAGAGGACGGATAGATGAGGACCTACCTCCCTACTGACCATTCTGTCCTGCTCAGGCTCTCCGTTTAACACAGCACCGTCTGTAGACAATAAAAGTTGTAAAAAATGACTGAGCGGGAACATCTGACTCTTCAGTTCATAGATGCAGTTCCCATCACACAGACAGAGTGGATGACTGAAGTATTTTGGCTTTCCAAAAGCAGAGTGAGAAATTATGTCTCTAAATTCAAAGGTACATCCTACTTCCCATCCTATTGATCCCCTCTCCTATTTTTCCTTTGTATAGTTTAAAACAAAACAAAACAAAACTCATTGGTGCCTGCGCTGGTTGTGAGAATCATATGTGGTGGAGGATTATGCCATGTTGTGAAAGTTACAGGAAGGGGCAGTGGCACTGCCCCGAGAAAGTCCCATCCCTATGCTCCTGTGCTGAGTTGGGCATCAACCTGCAGTGAAGAACCCACACCTTTGCCTCCCAGTCTAGCTCCTCACTTTTCTAAGATGACATTGACCTCTGGGGGAGGGGGGGAACACAACCAAACAACAAACTTACTCTTCTTGGCAGACCACCGGTAATAAATGAGGAAGATAATGATGATGGCAAGAGTGATGAGGACCATGAGGCCAATGAGAGTGTGCCGTGGTCTAGCATTACCTGGAGGAAGGTGAGAGAGTCCTTTAATAAACACAACACAGCAGCTATCACTTATTGATGCCTGCTATGTGCCATTCCTGTCAAACATTCTTCTAGGTGGTATAGCACCTGTCTGTGCGCTGCTGTACAGAGGTAACTCATGATTGCTGTGATGCTGAAGACTGTGACAGTGATGTGCCAATCATGGTAATGGGTACCCATGGTGGACAGTGTTGGCTGGAGCTTCCCGACTAAATCGAGCCTGGAAGCAGGAGTGGCATCCACTTCTGAAAAGGCTTGCCTCCAGAAACTTTATGTACGAACAGTGCTCAGGCTGTTCGTTCTTAGGGTCGCTATGAGTTGTCTACGACTCGATGGCACCAAACAACAACATGTGCCATACGATGACATGCAGTATCTCGATTTCCACAACTCTCCCAACTTGAACAATTTCAATTCCCTATGAACATATAATGACCTTCTGCTATCTTCATGGATGATGTTCTTGTTACTGTCCCACAACTCTTCTGGTCTTCGATCATGGGTGTTCAATTCCTCAAAACCTATTCTTTTTTCCCCAAACCTATTCTTAAGATGATCTTGAAATTCAGATGGAATTGATTCAAGATCAACCATATCTTGGTTCCTGTGGACTTATTTTCATTTTCTTCAGCCTCAGTTTCAACTTGCATTTTAGTAATTGATAATCTGACCCACATTCTAATCCTGGCCTCTTTTTGACTACCATTATTGAGCTTCTCCAAAGATTTCTTCCACAAATGCAGTCAATCTGATTCCTACGCAGCTTATCAGATGAGATCTATGTGTAAAGTCGTCAACTGTGTCTTTTAAAAAGGTATTTGCAGGGAGCTCTGGTGGCCTAGTGGCAAGGCGCTGCACTGCAATCCCAGAGGTATGTGGTTCAAATCCACCAGATGCTCTGCTGGAGAAGGAGGGGGCAATCTCCTCCCGTACCAGTCAGATCTGATTTGATGGTACATGTAAAAATAATACAAGAAAAATTTTTTAAAAAAGGTATTTGCAATGCACAAAACATTGTAAATACAAAATTCAATCATTCTATTTCCAGCTTCACTTCCATCACCACACCTATATTTTCCAGCTACTATTCCTTCTTCACTATCCCCTACTTTTGCTTTCCAGTCACCAAATTATCATTAACTCATCTTGATTGGATGCTCGGTCAATTTCGGACTGCAAGATTTGGCAAAAATTCTCCATTTCTTCTTCTTTGGCTCAAGATGTAGGAGCACATATTAGAAAAATAGTCGAGTTACTGTGTTTACCTTGTATCTTACCACTGGAAGCATCGTGATGAATAGAGAGGAGATCAAAACTGTCAACAGCCTCATCTTGCTTGTTCAACAGTTTCCACATTCATTTGGATCACCTTTCTTGGGGATGGGAACAAATGTGGACCTCTTCCAATCCATTGGCCAGACAGACCTCTACTTTAGCAAGGACACTATCTTTCCCAGGGAGTGACCTCCCCTGGTCACAGACTCAAAGTGTGTGAGATGAAGTCTCCCTACCCTTCTTCTAAATGGCATTCGGGTTTCATCTTTTCCAAAGCTGTTGTTGTTGTTGTTGTTATGTGCCGTTGAGTCGCCTGCGACTCATAGCGACCCTATGTACAACAGCCCTAAACTCCGCTCCGTCCTGTGCCAATCGCACTGTCTCTGACACTCCCATCCCAATTATCCCAGTCACTGAATCAATCCACCTCATAGAGGGCCTTCCTCTCCTGCGCCATCCCTCCACCCTCCCAAGCATGACGTCCCTCTCCAAGGACCGGTCTCTCCTCACAACATGTCCAAAGTATGTTAGACGGAGCCTCAGAATCCTTGCCTCCAAGGAGCCACCCTGTTTAACCCTCTCCAGGACAAATCTGTTTGTTTTCCTAGCAGTCCATGGTATTCTCAATACTCTTCTCCAGCACCACAGCTCAAAGGCATCAATTCTCCTTCTATCCTCCTTGATCATTGTCCAACTCTCTGATGCATAACAAGTGATTGCGAAGACCATAGCCTGTATCAGCCACACCTTAGTCTCCAGAGAGACACCATTCTGGCAGTGCATGGCGGAGTCAATATTCTTCATAAACACTTTTCAATAGCATCACTTCTTCCTAAATCTTCCTTACTCAATGTTTAACTTAGCACATGGGGCTATTTAAAACTTATCATGGTTTATGAATCTGGTGAAAGAAAGAAATGATGAGGTAGGAAACATGAACAGAAGGTTTCAAATATCAGCTCCAGAAGACAAAGCAAGGCACGGTCATTAAATACGCAACAAGACCAAGAGTTGAAAGACTGAAAGGGAGGAATGTGTTCATCAGTTTTTCAAAATCAAAGAACTATTTGTGATGTCAGAGGAACATCTCCACGGAAGCTGTCTGTGTCTTAATCCCTGGAATCTCAGGGAAATCTTAACTGTGTCTTCAGCTGAGTTTTCTAGGGAAACTCAAGAACAATGAAACCAAAAAAAAAAAAAAAAAGAACAATGAAACCAAGGCAGCAGACTACTACTGGCTTCTGGTGGAGTCACCTCACTGCCTTTGGCTTGGCAGAGAGGTTCCCTACCCACTAGACCACCAGAGCTCCTTGTGATAAGATTAACTCAGTTCTACCTAATTTACAAGGCTCTTATTCTACTGAGTCCACTGAAGTTGAATCTTGCAGAAGAAAGAGGCTTCTGTAAGAACCTTCAGCACAAATATCCCTTCTTTCTTCTTCTCTAAATCCCCCATGACTTTCTTCAGTCATGGGAACAGAATAAACACTGTCTTGCTCCCAAGAAAGAAAGTCAGGGTTACTCCCACTCTTCTCTTGGAGAAAACTCAGTCACACACACACACACACAAAATCAGAGATTAACAGTCCCTTTGAGCCTCCTGCTGGTCACAATCTCTTTTGTTATGCTAAAATTTGAGGACCACTGAGGAAAGGTGACACATTTAAGGTCACAGTCCTGGGAATTAGCCCAACTAACATTTAAACCGATCCTTGGAGATGAACGTCATGCTTGGGAGGGTGGAGGGACAGCGCAGGAGGGGAAGGCCCTCTAGGAGGTGGATTGATTCAGTGACTGGGGTAATCAGGATGGGTGTGTTGGAGGCAGTGAGATTGACACAGGACAGAGCAGGGATTAGGGCTGTTGTACATAGCATCGCTATGAGTCGCAAGTGACTCGACGGCACATAACAACAACAACAACGTTTAAACCTGAGACTTCTATCTATCCAGATTTCCACAAGAAAGAGGGCTTCTTGACTCACCAGGTTGGTAGCTGTGTTCTGTGGACGATGAGGCACTACTGGCGTTTCCTAGGAAACAGGACAGGTGAGAGGTAATAGGAGGCGATCTTTCACCCTGCTGCAGAAGAGCGGTTGTTATTCTGAGGTTGGTTCGTGGCCAACACTCACGTTATCATTTAATTGAAGGTTCCTAGGAGGGTTGGGATGTCCTCATCAAAATCCAGTGAGATAAGGAAGCTCTGGTGGCCTAGTGGCAAGACGCTGCACTGCACTCCCAGAGGTATGTGGTTCAAATCCACCAGATGCTCTGCTGGAGAAGGAGGGGGCAAGCTCCTCCTATACCAGTCAGATCTGATTTGACGGTACACATAAAAATAGCACAATAAAAATTTTTAAAAAAAATCCAGTGAGACACAACTTCATTACTTCTCCGTCTTCCTCACACTTTCCTCCTCCTCTATTTGTTCTGAATATCTGTGGCAGCTTTTAGTTCCTGCTTTCAATGACTATACTTTGTCTCTGATTGAGTCTCCATGTCAGAATTTTATCCTCAATAATCCTATAACATCTGGGTTTATCTTAGCATGTGGACCTGAAAAGCCAGTTTGGGGACCTACAGACCACAGATGCTAGTGCCGGAACCAGGTAACCTAGGTTATTAGGTCTCAGTCACAGAAAAGGAAGATTTATTGGAATAAACAATATCTGTAAGATTCTTATGATCTTAGGTCATATAGGCCATGGAGATCAATCTAGAATAGACCACTGGGCAATTTGATGATTAAGTGATTTGTCCTTGAGTGTTTTGGTAGAGAGAAAATGAGAAACCAAATTTCTAAAGTATCCCCAGTCTCTAGACAAGAATATGATGGGATGGAGTTGGGGGTAAATGTGGGAGCGAGTGGTGTGCTCTTCATGTGAAGACTTATCTGTTCATTCTCTCTCTCTGTCTCTCTGTCTCTCTCTGTCTCTCTGTCTCTCTGTCTCTCTCGCTTTCTCTCTCCCCCCCATTTCTGTACCTGTGTATCTCCTTTATACTAGAACAAACACTCTGTATTTACCTCTCTTTTTCTTTGTCTCTGTTGTATCTTTCCCTTTCAACATGTCTTGTCTCTCTCCATAAAAATCTGGTCTCATCCCTCTGACCACCACCCAGGACTCCCAGCCTTTCGAACATCCAAATCAGTGCTCTAAAGAGGACAGGAGCGGCGGGGACAGCTCTGGGACCTCACCTCTCATCACGAGCTTCAGAGGGTCACTAGGGGCTGACCACACGTCGTTGGAATGCTTGAGAGAACCATAGCATCGGTAGGTCCCCACCAGGGCAGATGTCATAGCACCCAAGAAGAAGTCAACCTGGGTTCTCTGGCCATGGAGTTTTCCAACAATGTGCGAAGAGGCCTCGGCTTCCTCTTCTTTGTGTAGCATGTAGATGTAAAACGTGCTCTCTGAGCGGCATTGCAGGGTCACATTCTCTCCCTCTGTCACCAGCCGACCAGGATTGGCCCAGAGATAGGGCTTCCTGTAGATACCTAAGAGCAATGAGATTGTGACGTTTTCGAACAATGGTCATTCTTCGCCCTCCTAAAAGAACTCCTATGCGATGGGCATCTTCCTCCCTCCTCTCTGCCTCTGTGTATGTTCCTCTCTGTTTCTTGTCCCGCATATATAGTTAATCCTTATTATTGTTTGATTTTTGTATTTGTGAATTTATTTACTCTCTAAAACATAAGTACCATTCCCAAATTAATATGTGTCGCGATTACCTGAGATTGGGGGGAATCTCATTTCCCTTTTGACATGCTCAGAAGCACATAGTTTCCAGGGATTAGGACGTGTATGTCTTTAGGAGACCAGTGTCCTGTGTGCTGCCCTATTCAATTCCTGGCATTCAAACTCCGTTTACCTAACATATCAAGAATGGTTTTTGGAAAAATGGACTTGAAAAAAAAAAAAAAGAATGGTTTTTGTTGTCTTAATTGAACCTTATCAACTGTACCCCTGCAACAGTTTAGGAGTTCTGATCTGTGACCCTGGTCTCCAAAAAGTCACTGGGGGCTGACCATTAGAGGGGTGATGATAGAACGATAGCACCTACGGATTCCAGCGTGTACTGCCCAGGAGGAAACTGAGGACAGTGCGTCATAGAGAGACCCATCTTCCTTGTGTGGCCTGACCACGGCAAGTTCAGAATGAGATGGACACAGGACACTGTAGAGTCACACGCTGTCCTCAAGGAACTGCAAGCCCCCACAAGGCAGCCCAGGAGGGTCTGTTGTGAACAGGTGGCTGAGATGAAGGCCACTTAGAGAGGAAAATACAGAACGCCAACCAGTTACAGCATCCAGAAGCACTCTCCTTCTTTCCAGTTATTTAAAGATTTCTTTTTCTTAAGCACAGAATTCCAAGAATACCAGGAAGATTTCTTAAACCCAATTAAGTCTGACATATGTTCCTGGCTGACATCGTTGCTCTTCAGCACTCTGGAGAGGTCCATGACAGCAGATTTTCCCAGTGCAATTCGTCTTTTGACTTCCTCACAGCTGGTGTTCAGAGTGTTGATTGTGGATCTGAGCAAGCTGTAATTGCTAACAACCTCAATCTCTTCACCATCTCTCATGGTGCTGCCAATTGGACCAGTGGAGAGAATCTTTGTCTTCTTGGTGTTGAGCTTCAATCCATTTTGAAGACTACAGTCCTTGACCTTTTGCAGCAAAGACGTTCAACTCTATGAATCATAACGAATTATGGATGAAATTATAAAGGTGGAGACTTCTAGAACACATAATTAGTTGTACTTCTGAGGAAGCTATCCAGAGACCAAGAAGCAGATGTTTGAACAAACCATGGGCATGCTCCATGGATTAAAATCTGCAAAGGTGTGTGTCAAGTTTGTTTATCATATTTATTCCATCCGTATGCTGAGCCAGTAATCTGGGAAGCGAGATGATTTGAAGAAGAACACAGCATCAAGATTTGAGAAAGGCTCATTGACGATCTGCACTGTGGAGATGAAACCAAAGACTTGAACCACTTCCTGATGAAGATCAGAGACTGTAGCTTTCAGTGTGGAGTTGGCCTCAAGACAGAGAAAAGAGAAGTTCTGACAGCTGAACTAATAAGCAAAGTCAGGACAAAAAGAGAAGAACTGGAGTTGTCAGTGATTTAATTTTGTTTGACTCCACAATCACTCTCTATGGAAGCAGTAGACAAGAGAGCAAAGGCAGTATTGCATTGAGCAGATCTGCTGTGAGGTCACGGGCAAAGATACTAGTTTGAGGATGAAGATGTGTCTGACTCAAACCATCTCTTTTCTGTCAAGTCATGTGCATGTGAACGCTGGACAGTGAATAAGCAATCTGGGAGAAGAACTGATACCATTGGATTGTGGTGTTGGCCAAGAACAGTGACTATATACCGTGGGTTGCCAAAAGAATAAACAAATTTGCCTGGCACGAACTGCTGCCGGAGTTCTCCTTGCAGGAGAGAGGATTGGAAGACTCTGTGTCTTGTATTTTGGGACTGTTATGAGGAGGGGTCAGTCTATGGAGAAGGACATCACGCTTGGTCAAGTAGTAGAAAGGTGAGAGAAGATTCTCAATGATACGCATTTGATACAGTGGCTAAAAATAATGGCCTCAAACTGAGCAACAATTGAGAAAACAGGGTAGAACCAGGCAGTGTCCATTCTGTTGCACGCAGCGGTCCTCTGAGTCAGAATTGACGGGGCAGCACGCAGGAACAGCGTGGCGTGTGATCCTCCTACCTCTTCTGATAACGAGTTCTGGGGGCTTGATGGTAAAAGCGTTGCCTTGCCAACCTAAAAGCAGGTGATTTTGAACCCCCCAGCTGCCGTGTGGCAGAAACCTCCTGTGTCATTACACAGTCTCTGAAAACCTACAGGAGAGTCAGCTCTGAATCGATTCCGACTTGAGGGCACCTAAAAACAACTTCTTCTGACAAGAAGGGAGTCGGAACACTCTTCAGTTCCGGCTGTAATGAGAAGGCTGGAGAAAGTAGCGAGTCAGATTTTCTTAGCCATGGGAAAGTCTGCTGTTAGGGACCTCTCCAAAGTGCTGAAGAGCAATGGTGTCTCTCTGGAGACTAACGTGCGTCTGATACAGGCCATGATCTTTGCTATCACTTGTTATGCATCAGAGAGTTGGACAATGACTAAGGAAGATAGAAGGAGAATTGATGCCTTTGAGCTGTGGTGCTGGAGAAGAGTATTGAGAATATCATGGACTGCTAGGAAAACAAACAGATTCATTCTGGAGAGGGTTAAACCAGGTGGCTCCTTGGAGGCAAGGATTCTGAGGCTTTGTCTGACATACTTTGGACATGGTGTAAGGAGGGACCGGTCCTTGGAGAGGGACATCATGCTTGGGAGGGAGGAGGGACGGCGCAGGAGAGGAAGGCCCCCTATGAGGTGGATTGATTCAGTGACTGGGATAATCGAGATGGGAGTGTCGGAGACAGTGCGAGTGGCACAGGACAGAGCAGGGTTTAGGGCTGTTGTACACAGGGTCACTATGAGTCGCAAGCGACTCGACAGTACATAACAACAACAACCCTTCCCCCAGGGAGTTCTCATGGCATCGTCCTTAGGCTCCTCTCGTTATGATTTATAGCTACAGAAACCTGAGGGCGAGTCACTTTGGACCAGACCCGACAGCGGTCTATGCTTATTCCCTTACTTTAGAATCTCAGTTCTGAGCTTCCCTGTCTCCTCCAGATGCCCATGGAGATTGGCTCAGCCAAACACTGTGCTGAGGAGGCCTCCAGAGCAGAACCACAGTCTAGAATGTCCAAGCCCTTGACTCTCTCGCTCCTAAGTGACCCGCTCATAAGACTTTCCAGAGTCAACTCATGAGTCCAATCTCTTAGACGTGTCTTCCTTTCCTTTCAGGGGAAAATGGTCTTGTTTGGAGTTGGAGGGTAACCTACATTTTTGAAAAATAGCTCACTCACTTGAACCCATATCTTTTGGTCTAGAAAGAGCAGAGAAAGACAAATTCATGATGCTTGGTTTCTCCATACGAAACCAACTGTCCTACTGTAACCTCATCTGATCCAAGCCAGAAACCTGCCTGGTTGAAAGGTAGATTCTGTCCTCCACTTCCTCTCAATGCCAATAGAAGCACAACCATTTGCTATGGGGACTTCAAGTCACACTATTGATCTTCAGATCGGTATTTCTGGCCACACTGTCCCCTCCCTGGCATTCTCTCTCAAAACTTAACAAAACCCATGATGCTAGAGAATGTGGAGGATAAAGGAGTGCTTCTGTTACACAAAAGGCCCCAAGCCAGCCATGCAGACAAATGCACAGGATGTCGTGAATTGACCACAATGTGAAAGTCAAAGAGCACTGTTCTTCTAACCCTACATACGGCCGGGGGACCTGACCAAGGTGAAATACAACTTCCTGGAAACTTTTTTCAGAGATACTGCCTTTGCGTCACATACTGGCTGAGGCCAGACTTGAAACACATGGCCAAGCCAATCTCCAAGACACAGACTGATCAAATTCTACACTTACCTTAAAGCCTGTTCGTGTGGTTTTGAGCTTTGCTCTGAGCTTTTGACATCACCTTATATGTGTCATATGGACTATATTTAATATATTTTTGCTAGTATAACAATAATTGCAACTTCTTCTCAAAGTGATTGTCTCAATCCTAAGCTGTTATTTCCAGGATTGAAAAAGGAAGTTAACTTTTTTTTTCACTTTTTTAATTTAGGAAAATTATGAAGTTCTTTAGAATCAGACTCCCTCTTTATTATCAAAGAAAAAAATATGTAAATTCTTGATCTTGTAGTTTTATTTGTAATTGATCTCATTGATCTACAATTTAAAGTCATTGTTTTATAAATTCTCTCATTGTTTTATAAGTTCAGGAGATTCACATTTTCTATCTCCTCTTGTGTGCTTTACTGCCTTTGAAAACCTTCTGGAGGGCCAGCTATGGGTCATTTCTACTCAACACTAACCAGTACACAACAACAACACTATGTTGTTGTTGTTGTTATGTGCCATCAAGTCACTTGCAACTCATAGCGACCCTATGTACAACAGCCCTAAACCCTGCTCTGTCCTGTGCCAAACTTATTGTCTCTGACACACCTACCCCCATTACCCCAGTCACTGAATCAATCCATTTCATCCAGGGTCTTCCTCTCCTGTGCTGTCCCTCCACCTTCCCAAGCATGACGTCCTTCCCCAAGGACTGACAGCTTCTTGCAACAGGTAAAAAGTATGTCAGATACAGCTTCAAAATCCTTGACTCCGAGGAGTATCCTGGTTTAACTCTCTCAAGGCTGAACCTGTTTGTTCTTTTAGCAGCCCCTGGTATATTCAATACGCTTTTACAGCAGCACAGCTCAAAGGCATCAATTCTCCTTCCATCCTCCCTAGTCATTGTCCAGCTCTCTGACGCATATCAAGTGATTGCAAAGACCATGGCCTCTTTCAGGTGCACATTAGTCTCCAGACTGACATCATTGCCCCTCAGTAATTTGGAGAGGTCCCTGACAGCAGCCTTTCCCGACGCAATGCGTCTTTTAATTTCCTGGCTCTTGGTGCCAAGAGCGTTGATGGTGGTGCCAAGCAAACTAAAGGTGTTTACAATCTCAATCTATTATCTTTCTGTAAAAAGTGACTTACAGAAATTGAAATCTCTGTGTGATGGATTGACACAGGAACTTGAGTAATGGGAGTAGGTGTGTCGAAAGCAGTGAGGTTGGCTCAGGATTGCACAGGGTTCAGAGCGCTTGTGCATAGGGTCACTATGAGTCACAATGGACTGGATGGAATGTAGCAACAACAACAACAACAATGTTTAAATATCACACATAAACACAGTGTGTATCCACATAGAGACCTTTTAGATGCATTTTAAAAAGATACACTTTTTTTTAAAAGGTACACTTTTTTAAAAAAATTTCTTTTATTTCATTATTTTGTGTGTGTACCGTCAAATCAGATCTGACTGGTACAGGAGGATATTGTTCCTCCTTCTCCAGCAGAGCATCTGGTGGATTCGAACCGTGCATCTCTGAGACTGCAGTTGCAGCTTCTTGCCACTAGGCCACCAGAGCTCGCCAAAGATACATTTTTTTGCCTCGAGTTTATATTGCTATAATATATCAGTCCTAAGATGTATGGATCTAATTCTTTTGCATCGCTGTGTAACATTCCATTGCATGAATATATCAATATGTACTTCTCTGTTCTGCTTATTAGGACCTTTCTGTGTTTGTATTTCATAATCTCATTCCCCATTTTTTTATTTGCCATGTTTCTGCTCCTGTTGTTTGTCTTTGATTTTTTAATAAATTGTCGATATTTGCTTCCCTTATTTCTTCATTTCTGTCCATATCTCTCACTAAACCTGTCTTGCTTTGTAATCACGCTATTCTCATCTCTCTCACCAACACCTGGGGCTTCAACCCTTCGAATAACCGATCTGTGCCCCAATGAGAATAGAAGGAAGGGAAGATCTGGGAATTCTCACCTGTGATCTTAAGGCTCAGGGGCTCGCTGGGGGCTGACCACTCGTAGGGCGAGCGCCGGAGTGAACCATAGCACCTGTAGACCCCCGCGTGAGAAGATGACACGGTGCCCAAGGAGAAGTCAGCCTGGTCTCTCTGCACATCCTGCTTCTCAACAAGACGCAGGGTGTCCTTAGTGTCCTTCTGTTTGTACAGCATGAAGGTGTCGAACAAAGTCTCTGAGCGGCACCGAAGGGTCACACTGTCTCCGGTTCTCACCAGGGGACCAGGTTGAGCCCAGAGAGAAGGTTTTCCACATACATCTAAGAGCAAAGAGGTTGTGAGTTTAAAAGTAAGGATTCCTGTTCATATCCTGTGCCCATTTTTCAATTGGATTATTCATCTTTATCTTGTTGTGTTGCTCAAGTATTTTATAAATTCTAGATATAAGTCCCTTATCTGACCAAACACTTTTTCCCAGTCTGTGGCTTCCCTTTTTACCCTGTTAGAGAAGTTTCTGGATGC